TGACGATATAGTTTATGTGTTTAGTTCAAAAATTTCCACTCAAATGTAATTCTACGTATTCTTCGATGAAATAAAAAAAAACAACTTGTTTTTCAACTTCGGTTCTATCGATCAATAAGACAACCAATTTCTCTTGTTAATGTCTTGACAACAGCACACATCAAATCCATAGAATAATAGCAAACGAATACTGTCCTACCTTCAAGTGACTTACAACAGCCAACCTTTACAAATACCAGACAGCAGCAGAAGATACAAAACTACGTTGTTAAGGGAACCGTTTTTTGTTCACACAGGATAAAAACTGTATTTTATTTTGTTCTCTGACCTGTCCTCTAATCTATTCGTTCTTAGCTGAATCATTGAACCACTTTAGCCAGGAATCATTTATTTGCATAACGGGTTATCGGTATTATTTTATCAATGATTCAGATGCGAGTGTAGCTATGAAATTTAAGAATCTGTCAGTGTATTTATTCATAAGGAAATTTCTTCGTAATAAATTATAACAGGTATTCAAGCAAATAGAACAATTCCTCCATATTACATACAGAATATTGCGTGACAGAAATACTTGACTTTCTGGTTATTAAAGCAGGTCGTCTTAACTTCTGATTAGTTTTAAATATTATCTTTATATATAAAATATGCAAGTTAGTGTGTGTAACTTCCCGTTCTATGAAAACGTCTATGAAATACTTTGTGGTTAAAACTGCCTTTGAAAGTTTACATCAAAATATATGAAAGAATCTTTCGATAGAAAAACTTTTAAAAATTGTAATCAGTTTGTTAAATGCATAAAAAAAAAAAAAATAAAACTGACTATATTATAACTATATATGACTATATTATTTTATTTAATTTTAACCATGCACAAGATTGTTTTAATCATTACAGCTTAAGCAAGGTAATAACGCCATAAGACGGACGGGTTTAGTTAGTGTGAAAGAAAATAAGAAAAAGAAAAAATATTATTAAGGAGAGAACAATAAAAGAATAGTAATTAAGAAAACAAAAAATAACGATTGACATTTGCATTTAAGATCAAATTTAACGGCAAAGCAAGAGGCCCGAAGATAATCCCTCAAGCGAGAAGTGCGAGAAAAGAAACTGTTAGCACAAAACTTACGTTTACATCTATTTCAGCTGTAAAATGATGAGACCTAACTGTCCCAAGTGTTGCAAAGACAAATCAACAGAAGGTAATATTTGCATGTATTTTTAATTAATTACTTAATTTTTAATCAGAAATTATTTCTTATTACTATGTAGATGTTATATTTTGTAGGTACATGCATTTGTAGATATCGCTATTATTTTAAATATTAAAATGAATGTGAAACGACATTAAACTAGATCTCGAGAAGTCATAGTAAAAAAAGATATTATCGTGGCTTAATTGGTAGGACACATTCAACTCAAGAATATTTTTTACCACTCGTAGGTAAAGCAATCCATTTTTTTTACAGTAGGTTTTGCACTGTACAAGGCTCGGGGACCACTCGAGGTAGAATGTTACGATAAGGAGTAGTTTATATGGATATGAGGGTAAGATAACGGTTGACTCTAGACTTGACCAGGTTAAGATTGTAGTGATTGGGGAAACATCCTCTTGGGAGTCTGCTCCACAGAAAAGTGTTTCGCGTGAAGAAGCTGCTTGAGTGAAACTTCCTTCTCGCTGATGGAATAAAGGGCGAATGTGGGTGGGGTTTGCTATTATGTAAGTGGCATGACGGGCCCTCCTAGCCTTGAAGATATGATCTGATAGAACCAGGAAATACAGTTCGTCCGAGCACTTTCCATAGAGCAGTGAGAGACTCGCCACACCCCACCTGTGAGAGAGAGGTTGGAGGCTGAAAAATAATTCATGTCCCAGAAGGACTCGGAAACGCATTTGAACTCATGACTGGAAAGTGGGATGTCGGAAACTCCTACGCAAATATGACAACAGTACTCCATTTTCGGCCTGATCGGCTCTTTTAAAGGTAGAGGATAGCACGATGAGGCAGGTATATACTAGAGCGCGGTACAGAGAGCCGATTATTTTACTTGCATCTTTAGAGACGGGTTGTATATAAGATTTACACTTGAGGTCGGATGTGAGTTTGAGGCTCAATATCTTCACGAGGCACATCGGTTCCCCGAAGGCCTCATCCGTTCATCTTGACTGGCAGTAGTTCGGGATCTAATCGCTGGTGATGGAATGGTCCAGTTTTAGTTTTAGGGGCTTTGAATGTAAACAGCCATTCCCTCCCCCACTGGGAATTTAGTGTTAGATCGAAAGAGAGGTCAGCTGCCAATCTCTGATCATCAAAACTTTTAGAGGTGCGCCTGTATATCGTCATATCACCGACATAGACGTTTACAAATCATCAATTATGTAAATCAGAAAGTGGGTTGGTCCAAGAATTGACCCGTGGAGGAAGCCTGCGTTGACACCAGGGCCTTGGGCGTCCTGGGTAATACGATAAACTACATCCAACAGCAGGGGTGTTTGAGGAGCATGGAATCACCTCTTAATTGCTGGTGTTCCCAGATCCGGGGTGGTAGCACCTGTTAGGGTCTCTAGCGTTGGGCAAATAGATGACCCCCAAACTGGGGTCAAAACACTATGAAAGTGTAAAAATAGGTTTAAATACCAACAATATGATTTTGTAAAAGGTTATTACCAGCAATTAATTTTTGAAGAAAAAATTATTACCAGCAATATATTTTTGAAAACAAATATTATCAGCAATACATTTTGAGAAAAAAAAAAGTATTAGAAACAATAAAAATCTTGTCGGCATTAAATAACCCATTGAGGTTGATATACCGTAAAACAAACTAAACAAAATCAAACCAGACCAAAACCAGGACAGATGAAAGCAGAAAATAATTTATCTAATTTAAATGGTTCGCACACCAGACATAAGAAAAAAGACATAATTTAGTAAGAGCTACAAAAGATAGGAAGTCGTGGTGAGCAATGATCGTCCAACAGTCCATGTCTTAAAGGGACACGTCACATAGAAGACGAACCTATTTAGCTAGAAAGTTCCAACCATGAGACGGCCACGGAGAATCGGACTCACGAGCCACCAAATCTATTTCATCAGTCACAGATCTGATTTACATCAAGACAATGTTTCTTCAGCTAATGATAACAGGCTTAGTCTGGTATAAGGCTACGGAGTACTCAATAAAATTGAAATTACTAAACTAATAAATGCCTTCCTCCGATTCGGGGTTATTAGCCTGAAGTTGCCCAAACATGTTAAATAAGAAAATAATTGCAAGAATCTACGAAATTTTATCCAGGAACGAAAATCTTTGCAAATAAGACAAAGTAAAAACCATATTTTCTCAGGATGCATTTCTCCTTTACATTTCCTTAGAGACCACAGATCTTTTTTGCATTCCTTTGACTCGGCGTCATAAAGTTCTTTCTGTCGATCATTAAACGTTGGCCTTTGGAATTAAATTCATAAAAGACAACTAAACTGATATCAGATGCTTGGCAACAACGAACTCACATAAAAACGCATTTTCAGGTTTAAAGAAGAGGACATATTGAGTTATCAAAAAAGGTGTTTTCTTTTATTACTTTTTCTTAAGAAACTAAAGTTTTGCAATGCTTTGTGAAAATATTATTTAAATGTGCGTGGCATGAAATATATAATAATAAAAATCTGCCAGTTTAATTTGTAGCGAAAACAACACCACCGATGGCTACAGTGGATTTTGAAAAGTTTTTATTAAGCTGGAAGTAATTCGTTATTACTTTAGTTGGCTTAATGTAGGAAGGATAAAAGTGAAGGATTATTGTCAATAAGAATTTGAATTTTTTACTTTCCATCATTAACTGGTTTTCTATTCATTGATTAGTTCATTACATTTCAAAATTTAGAAATATATTAAAACAATCTTAAGAAGACAATGATGATTCGTATTTATGAAACCAGTCACTATCTCTTGACCTCCAGTTTAGTCAATATCTGCAGATGTAAGGAACAGAGACAAGGAAGACAAGGTTGTATAGAACACGCTAAAAGAGAAACATTTCACGCAGAAGAAGTCATCCAAAAGAATATAAACAATAATATATTCGAATTCTTTATTTAAAATAATAATATACATCAAATCAATTTTTCCCACAGGCTTTCGTCCATCGTATATTGAGATGCTTAGGCCTTAAATAATGATTAACGAAGCTTGTCAGATACACCATTATGACTGAATGGGATTTGGATCCCCACTGGTTAACCTATATAAAATTTGACATTGAATAACTCTACAAGGGTTAATATATCGAAACGTCAACCATTCTTTCGTTGCTGTCTACTTTGATGTATTTAAGTGGACACGTGTTCTTCCCTCATCATATACAGGAAGTGAGGGGCAATATATAAACTGGCCCCAGAATTCAATGATATTATTTTGCAAATTATTAGATCTCTCTATTCATAGAAATTTCAATGGATTTTTCATTAACAATATTTACATCCAAACAGAATGCTTCATGTGCAATTGAATAGGACGTTAAATAAACTAAATTAATAATGGCCTCCATCTGACCGCGATAATTGTTTTGTCTTTTTAAGGAAATGGACAAAGTTCTCACAGTCGTTGTAATTACTCAATTAAGTAGAAACAAAAGATGCTTTAAATCCTCAACGAAAAGATGAAATTTTTTTTCTTGCTGACTGCTGAAATATATTTATTCATTCAGACAAGTTTTTCTTTGTTGTTTTCGTAATGTTATGTAATCAACTTTCATATTTTTTTGTTCTTTTAACAAACCTCAGATTCTGTTGGAATTGGAAAAGAAACAAATCCATGAATGTTTTGTAAAGACAAACTCTCAAAATTCCTAAGATATAGATTTAAACAAACCAACAAATGCATTTCAACATCACCTCATTTTTAATGGAATTAATGCTCTATTTTTTTAGTTAACATTTAATTGATTTCATAAATCAATTATTTTATATTTTTGTATAAAAACGAAAAACTTTCAGAAGTTCTTTCCCTCTCCCTCTCTATCTATCTATCTACTACAGTCTGTTCATGATCTATCTATCTATCTATATATATATATATATATATATATATATATATATATAATCATATAAATAAGTTATACTCGTTTGGAAAAACCTTAGGTATTTTGGCTTGTAATTGAAGAAACCAATGCCCAAAGGAAAATAAATGATAAAAAAAGCTTCTTTACAGCTTCTTCATGATCTATCTACCTATAGTCTGTCTATGATCTATCTATAGTCTGTTCATGATCTATCTACCTACAACTTGTTCATGATCTATCTATATATCTATCTATAGCTTATTCTGTCTATAGTCTGTTCATGATCTATCTATCTATCTATCTATCTATCTATCTATAGTCTGTTCATGATCTATCTATCTATGTATCTATCTATCTAAAGATCTGAAATTAATCATCCCCGCATTCTCTAAGCTGTTGGTAAATGGAATAAGTTATTTAAAAGATTACTAAATAGATCAATGAAATCGAAAATGCTCCTTTGAAGAAGATAGATAATTCTAGAGTTATTTCAGCAAAGTAAAATAAGTAATTAGCAAATAATACGCGCGTTGTGAGTTTCTAATAAGGTCGGTTGCAAAACATTAACATATTTATCATATGTTCAAATATTAAAACGATTAAACTGTAAAGCAGGTTTTCTACGAAATAAAGAGTTACTACCCTGAAGGTAGTTGTTAACATTCAGACCTTCGAACCCCAAATGATCAGCGCATGAGTCCAGCATGGTTCGCTTCTTGGTCCAACCCTCTTTCTATTTTATGTAAATGATCTACCTCTGTTCATTTGTGAATAACTGTGCTTATAGATACAATGGTATATGGATGCACCTCCAAAGCTCTAGCTGATCATGGCTTGGTAACAGATCTCTCCTCCAGCCTAGCCCTAATAGCTGAGTGAGGATGAGAAAACTGGTTGGTCACATTAAATGCTTCGAAAACCAAACTAACGAAGTTTCATCATTACTGAACAGAATGAGAACTTTCAGCGATCTCATTGAACGGATACTTCCACAGTGACGCTTCGTGCCTTGAGCGCTTATTGGGCTTTAAACTCATCGCTAAAGAAGTTGGAAAAATGGTCAGTTCACTGTAGAGCTAGATCAGGCCAAAAATGGAATACTGCTGCCATACATGGGCAGGAGCTGTCAATCCTCACTTTTCAGTCTGGATAGAGTCCAAAAGCATCTCCACGTCCTTGTAGGTGACAAATTATCTTCCACCCTACAACCCCTTTCCTCACAGACGAAAAGTGGTAAGACTCTCACTAATCGATTGCTATTTTCATGGAAAGTGTTCAGAAGAACATTTCTTAGTTCCACCAATTCTAACCTTTACCAATTAAGACCCTCCTTGCCAGGAACATTCCAGCATATATATATATATATATATATATATATATATATATTTATATATATATTTATATGTTTATATATATATATATTTCAAATGCTCTGTTTTCATTAACGGTAAAGTTATGAAATGTATAAATACATTCAGGCCACGACTCAGGCAGGTTTCATGCAAAACTTCACCTGAAGATTGCGTTTTAAATGAAGCTCTGAGTCGTGCTAAGGGTGAGGGATAATATGTATATTTATAAATATATATACTTAATAGCTCCGTCCCATGATGTGAGGTTGACTAGGAGATGAGAAAAACTTCCTATTGAGAAAATTAAGTTCACGCATTATTTCTCGAAGCTAGTATTTTGAGCTGCTGACAATCAAAGGGCTTTGTGTGAAACCTGTCTGACTTCTGGGGCGAAAGCAGTTTTTTTTTATAGATCATCTATCTTTCGTTTGACAATCCACGGCCAATCGACTGAAATATCTTTACTCTAAAATATTTAAATCCAATGATATTCACGTAAATTACATTAATTTCAAAATAGTTAAGTGTTTATTTTCTGTCATATTTCTTGCCTATTTGAAGGAAAATATATTGTTCGTTATAACATATTTTGCAAGTATAAACCATAAAACTCCGGGATCAAATCAAAATCGATTTGTTCTCAGAAATGAACATGATTTCTTATCGTATTTTGATAAACCCGAGGCTTCTACGTAAACTTTTAATGTACTGAACTATTACTGAATATTTCATGAGAAAAATATGACTACTCAGTGCTTCATGTTAATTTTGTTCTTCTAAATAAAGAAAACCACAAATCGATATAGACATTTTGAAACGACAATGACAATTTCAACTTTGACATATATTTCTTATATAAGAATTTGTATAGATTTTTTCTGTTCATTTTTTTTTCCCTCAACAAAAGATACAAAGTAAAATATACAATAAAAAAAAAAAACGAATAAATTAGTGAACGTCAAAAAGTTTGAACTTTATGAATCCAAAAAAGAATTCGCTTTGAGCAACTAAGATCCTCATACTTTAATGACATTAATGTAAATTTTGATTATTGCTATTGAAGAACTATATTATCATGGAGAAGGATTTCATTTTTAAAAATTGATTGAGAACTGGAATAGTTTAATTGTGTGATTATTACATTCAAAGTCACAAGACTTGTAGAATTTGACAAAATCAAGTGAACTTTGGATTATGTATAAGCATATTTAGCGCTTAAAATATGTTCCGTTCCAGAATTATAGGATGAATATTTTATTCGAAGTACTACATCAGATATATTTTCGGAATATGGATACGAATATTAGTCATATATAATAAAGATTGGCGTTTCAAATCTATTATGGACTAACAACTTTTGAAATGTCTTTCCGGCATTCAGCTGTGATAGAGAAATGAAATATCCTCGGTGTCGAGTATTTTTAAAACAATTCGTTCAAAAATGGAAGAAAATGGTTGAAAAATGATTTTGCTTTTATAATAAATTGTTAGAGAAAAACAAATATTACGCAGGTCGCTCCGAAATTAATGCCTGTTATTTTAATGATCGTCAGAAACGGATGATGGTAGTATGACTAATAATCCATATATATTTTAACTTTGTACAGATAGCAGAAAATACGTACGTAGCTTAGGTTTATCAGTGAATTCCTCCATGCGAAAAAAAACAAAACATTTCTCCAGATGAAGAAACCAAACAGTGGATGTGATTACAGGCGGTTTTTTCAATAGTGTCAAAAGCGATGTATGTGAAAAGCAATGTTCTCGGAAGCCTGACATAGTTGTCAATGTATGAAATGAAGAAAATATTGAAAATGCATAAACAATGGTGGCAGCTATGTGAAAAAATAGTGTTTTGTAGCAGAAATATTCAACGGCTTTATTGTGTTCCTTGTATCACTATAGTTTCTGTGAAAATAATAAGCATTACTTTCGGGCCATTCCATTGTGTTTACAGATTTTGTAGATATACAATTTTTTAACTGATTGGAAATAGTCAATTCAATTCAATTTAGAATTCAATATGAAGCAAAATTTGTTACTGACTTGGAAAACATATTGCTTTGTAAATATTTCATCTTTGCAACTTGTAAATGCTGGATTTTAATCAAATAGTTTTGCTTAAAAACTCAGCAGAATCAGTGTTTCCACAATAATTCCAATTGCAAAATATTTGTTACTCGTACCCTTTAGAGAATTAGAATAAAATATGTGAAAAAATTATCCTCTGATCTTTACCTAGAATAAGTGACACAATGTCTCATACAATGTAATAAAAAAAAATTCTAGACAACGAAATATTTAGAAGAAACTATTCTTTTCAAGTTTATTAATAACCAAACCGATAGATGGAATTTGGAACCTAAGAATTTTGTAAAGTAGTTTACTAAGCCAGTCAGAACAGTTAATGTGAAGTCTGTAGTCAGCTTAATCCCTATTTATCGCGATTCTATTTGTGAATGATTATTCAGGGAGATATATATTCGTGAATGATTATTCAGGGAGATATATATTCGTGAATGATTATTCAGGGAGTTATATATTTGTGAATGATTATTCAGGGGATATATATTTGTGAATGATTATTCAGGGAGATATATATTCGTGAATGATTAGTCAGGGAGATATATATTCATGAATGATTATTCAGGGAGATATATATTTGTTTGAGAGGAAAATACAACATGACCAAGTTTTCCTTAATAATAAAAAGTCAACTCAGTCTCTTCAATTATAATACTACAAGGCAGTACCAACTTCTGAAGATTTTTCACAATTTATGAAGTTTCAGCAACTTCATACATTCATCAAATAGACGCTTCTGCACTATGTCGACAAATTAATACAGAATTTTAAAACATCTGAAAGTTTATAAATTAATATAATTAAAATTTTAAAAAGAATGAAAACAATTTTTGTAAAAATTAATTATTCATTGAAAATCTTTTTCTTAAGACACTAATGTCCATAATATATTTTATGAATAAAAACAAATAATAGCTTTTATAATTAAATAATATCTTAGTCTTGTTGCATTTTTTATTTTACGATTCAAATTAGATTTTCTGTAACCGGGGGTTTATTTTGACCAAATGAATTTCATTATTTAAATTCTTCGAAGACATCTCCTTATAACCATTATAAACGTTGCAAAAAGAATTTCGCGAAATTTCATAAAATTAAATCATTTTGAAGGTTCTAAAATGGATAAAAAAAATATAATTTAATAATCAAAAATCTTTTGTTTTCCTTTAAAAACTAACAAAGATTTTGAAAATAAAACTTTGCTTTAATTAAGTTTAAGACATTTTACCTTCGTGTATGCTCATTTGTTAGCGAAACTTTGGAGCCATTTAATTATATGTATCATTTATCTTAAGCTTAAATTCACACCTATTTTTCTTACACTACACAGGGACTAGGGGCATTTCTTTGGTAAATTTCCAAGTTGGATCGAAAAATATGATTTTTTATTTGCATATACATTAAGCTATACAGACACCTGCTGTGCGTTTTATATCAAACGAAGCCATAAAAACAAATTTAGCGTAACGGAATGTAAAACTCTATCTTTCGTGTAGACTTATTTGCTAACCTTTGCTTGTTCTAAATGAATAGAAGAAGCAAGAAAAAGAAAATCAGTCGATCTCCCAAAAGTTCTATTTACACATTTTTCATTTGGTCTGATGGCGTTTTGTGAAGTTTTTTCAGGATAAACTTTCGTTATAAAACTGCCAATCTACATATCTCGGGCGTTAAATCAAATAGTCTGTCATTTCAACTAAACCATATTATCATCACAATTTCGACGACCACCCAAAAGTTACAACATGTAATCACTAACATCTTCACTTGACGGCGTATTTATATAGAATTAAAAAAGAAAACGTGTTTCAATTTCTTCAGTAATGTCGGAAAAATAGAAAAGTTTCATTTCTTAAAAAAAGAATCTTGCTTTTCCTCCCCTAGAAAGATTAAATATTTTCAGTTTCTTTTTTTTTCAATCATTTCACTTCAAGAAAGGTGATAAAGTAACTAAGACACCAGAGGTTACTGAGAGTGAGAACTTTATTTGGATGAAAGGACTGAGGAAGGCGATTGATGATGAATTTAAATCGTTGAAGATCGTAGTTGGCCAGAAGGTAAGAAACCGGAAGAGAGTTCCACAGGCGAAAAGTTTGAGAGAAGAAATTATGAGCATAGAACTTACGGTTACAAGTAGCAATTTCAGCGGGAAAATTAAGAGACCTAGCTGCCAATATAGTACTGCGCTTAAATTCATGAAGCCGAGTTACCAAAGAGGAAAGCTCATTAGAACAACTGCCATGCAAATATTTATAGAAAAGGGACAAGGAATTTACATTACGGCGATGGGAAAGTGGCTGAAGCTGAGATGCCAGGTAACGTATATATATATAATGTTACAGATTCTTCTTTGGATTATGTTATGAATTTCCAGATAAATAGAAGCACCAGATCAAATGTTTTCTTTGTTTCTTTGTTTTTTAATCATTTCACCCCAAACAAGGCGGGAATGCCACTAGTACGCAGGGGGTTACAGAGAGTGAAAGTGAGAGCAAAAAAAAACAGATATTAGAGGAATTGAGAAGAAGTGACGGCAATATTTAACGCACGGACGAATGGTAGATTTATAAATATGTAAAATTCTGTAGATAAAAATTGTCTAGCACAACACAGTGAAACAAATTTTCGAGCAGCAGACCTAGCAATAGATTCAATATAATCTTTCCACTTCATGTCAGCTGAAGACGTTAGGCCGTATTTTGTACTTATTATATTTTCGTACCAACAGCAACTGGTGGCTTTTGATGGCATTAAAGTGACAGAAAGTTTCTTCACTACTATCGCATTCTCTTTTTCTCATTCTGATTTTATTAACAATGTTTGGCTGGTGTTAATTGTTGCATAGGCTTTCCAGATTATTTCAAACATTCTCATCATTTTCTACTTATTTTTCCTCATTCTAGTAGTGTTTTGATATTTTCCAGGTTTTTCACGATTATTTAGTTTCACTCTGTAATGTCTGCATTGGCAAAAAATATTTGAAATAATTTTCTTTGTTTACAAGGACAAAGTCTGATTTTCTCTCCTTCACTGAATGATCGATTTAAATCTCAAATTCATACACAGTTTTACTTTATTATTATTATTATTATTATTATTACTATTATTATTATTATTATTATTTGAATTTGATTATATCAGCTGTATGGTGACTAAAATCTTCTCAAACATCTATTAGCATCTATAGCGCCCTTGCAGACTCTAGAACATGAGTGATCTGAACACTTCGACCATAAATCTTTAATTTACTTCATTTATAATGTTTTCTGATCGAATTCGAGTGAATCAATCAATTATTGGCATGATTTTTACGTTTATATTCCACGGTTTTGTCAGTTTTCAAGTGACATCTTGAATTTTTGTCTAATTTTTAATTTCCATTATTTCACTAGCACCTGTCATGTCTTTTATCCACCAAGCTCTCTTTATCCGATCCAGGCTTTTTTTCTTATGGTAGATTTGGATCTTAAAGTACGGGAATATTTTCTTATTCCTTTTATTTTCCAAGGCAGACACTTTTTTCTTTATTTGTTCCAATGGTTGTATCAATTCTTGTGTATCATGATTCCTTTCTTTTTGCTCGTGTTTCTTTCCGAGGAATTACAGTTATAATAAGTAGCAGTGAAGGTCGAAAGTTTTACTGATAAACCTTTAATTTTATATTTAATTTTACTTACAATTTTCTTCCGGTGACCAATTTTATTTCATAGTTTTTCATTGGAATTAACTTTAAATATTTAGCACTGTTTTGTTAACCCTGAAAACCTTACATTTCTGGGTCGTGATTCGTAGGAGTCATGTCATACGCTTTGTATGGCCAATTCATCAAATACAATGTTTTTCGCCATGACAATTTTCTTCATACTCATTTGATCTTGTCTTTTACTCTCTTTCCAGTAAACTGTCTGGATTACTGCATTTAATACTGCTTTCTATAAAGTGATATATTTTCTCTGCTATTCGTCCTACGTCAACAGTAGACATGTGATTGGTCTACAGTAGACATATGATTAGCTAATTTAATTTATCAGTGCTTTGGGTTTTTCTAGGATTTGTTGTATACTCATTTTTCTTTATCTAGTAGCTTTTGAAAAATTAGCCAACCACCCAGTTGCTTTGTTAATTTTTAATTTTGTTATACAAATTTCGTTCTCGATATATTTTTCTCTTTTTCCGTTAATATTCTTATCAAATTTACATAGCAATGTTGTTTTCAACGTTCAGTTATCATTATTATTATCATCATCAATTTTTCACATTAGATATCTTGTAGTTCAAGTGACAACAAATCTCATCAAAAAATCTCCATTTTCTGCAATTTTCTTGCTAGCTTGTAAAGTCTGATTGCTTTCTTGAATATTTTTATTATCTATTTTCTTTCTTTTCCTCTTCCCCTTGTATTTCCCAATTTTCTATTCACCGTTTCTTTCTGTCTGACTTTCTCTTCGTTAGATTTCTTGTCATTATTCTATTTTTTAACTATTATTTATTATTGTTTACTTATTTCGTGTGACTATGACTTCTAAACGTGACTAAATAAATTTAACAGTGAATGGAGGGGCTTAGGTTCACTTTTTTTTCATAAATCTATGGCGTTGTTCTAAAGCACAAACCAGGTTTCATTGCCGAAGGGCATTAGATCGTTAACGATTAGCGCTAGGACGATTGGGTTTTGCTGAATTTACGTAGCTCATTCGAGAGTCTGACTTTTTATCTGTTGACATCACCAGCTGTTGCTTGGGTCAAGTGCAGCCTCGCTTTTAGACGACAGCAATTAAATGGTGGGATTGTGTTTTTAAGAGCTAGCTTTTCATTGTAGAACAATTACAGTTATAAGAATAATAGCCAGAATTTCAGCTTTTCTTGCGATAAGCCATTTCTTTTTCGAGAATAAAAGATGTCAGCAACTTTTTTGTTAATATTTCCTGTTCTTGTTCTCTCTTTTTACTATAATACTGAATTCTCACAGTCGTTTTGATCACTTCCCAATACACCTCGAGATTATTTACGATTTCTTTCACATTTCAGTAAATTTAATAACTGCAAAAACGAAAATACGTTGAAAATACTTTTTTCTTTCCTACTTAAATAATGGAAAAGAATTATTCACGTAGATATTTACTAATTTGATGGAACTTAACACCTCCTCCTCCTCCTCGCGCTTCCTTAGTTCTATTAGGGTCCATGTGGAGGAAAATGTCACAGTTGCTGTAATTTCAGAATCCCTCTGAATAATTACAGCCCAGTCTGGATCACTGTTTAACCTATAACTGGGGGAGATAGAATGAATTAATGTCTTTCCATTCCGTTTCACATTTTTGGTAAAGTAAATGCAAAAGACTAGCCCGGAATAAGAATTCGGTTCGCCCAGCCTGATTTTATATGCTGTTATTCGCTACCCGATCTACTCATCTGTAAAATTTGAGTTCTTATGAGTAATCAGAGAGTGATCTCCATTGTTGCTCATTGCATAAGTTGAAAATAAAATCCTTTTTTTCAAGATTTATTAACAGAAATTTCGTGATTATCTTTAGTATTTGAGCGGAAAGACTTTTGTAAAACTTGTCCAGTTTTCATTGTTTAAAAATTCCGAAACTGTCAATGATTAATTCGATTGAATACTAACTCATTCATTGGAGCAGTTGATGACAACAAAAGTTTTACGAAATTAATTCTAGCAAAATTATCATCAAGGTTTTACCATATAATAAATATTATCAATATTAGATGACAACTTTCAAGGAGCGAGACATTTACATTTAAATTTGATTTGCTGTTGAACAGACTACTTTTTAAAAATATAAATTCAGAAAACCAATTTTTAACACGAGAAACAAAAATAAGACTAAGAACACGTATCAAGAAACTAACCAATGAACTCTCACTGCAATTGCAGGTGAAGATATTGCCCGTAAGTCGTAAATTCTATCAAAGAATGTCTTTATTTTAATTTGGTAGCTACAATGGGCATATTCTTCTCACTTAATATGGACGGGGTCAAACTGGAAACTGTACATTTCCGGCACTTAACAATTCTTTACGGCCACCAACCCATTTATCAAGATGGCATTTCGACATATATATAATAACAGTATCACATAACAGAAGAACGTTGCTATAATTTATTGTTAGGGGGGAAAATTGACATCAATCTTTTGTTATCTCAGTTTTGAATTAATATATTCTTCATATCCGTCACCAGTTTATGAATTGAGATGAGAACATCTTGGAAAGTCCTTGTTACGAAATGCTAACTCTCAGGTGCTTATTTTCTTAAAAATAAATAAATATTTATTATTATACTCATTATAGATTTCTGGTGGCTAATAGGATACAGACACACAAACACACACAGACGCACACACACACACGCTCCCACACACATATTAAACGTTATTTTTGGTATATATATGTCTGTCTGTCTGTGTGTGTGTGGGGGTTGTATTAAACGAAATAATGAATTTTTATTTATTAATGCGACATATTTTTATTATTTTGAATGTTATTTTTAGTGGATAACCATATTAAAGTAGACGCCTCGTTTATTTTTAAATCAGTATTTTTATTACGTCTATCGGCCTGAACATTCGAGAAAATTTCTTCTGGAAGGTGCATTTCTTTAATATGAAAGGCCGATCGTAATAAAAAATACTGTTTTAAAAATAAACGAAGCGTCTTCTTTAATATGGTTATCCACTAAAATAACATTCAAAATAATAAAAAAGAATATGTCGGATTAATAAATAAAAATTAATTACTTCGTTTGATATATATATATATATATATATATATATATATATATAGATAGATAGATAGATAGATAGATAGATAGATAGATAGATAGATAGATAGCAGAGAAGTGGTGCACAACAAGTCTACGTATGAAATCATAGTTTCCTTCCTCCTAGACTGGTAGCCAGCCAAGGCAAGAGAGACCAGTTTACCCTGCTATTTAACCCACAATTTGATTATGATTTCGCATTTTGAAGTTATTCTACCTTAAAATGAATCATGAATACTCGATCGGTGCTTGTAAAATCCGCAACAAATATAATTCCAAATCATTTCAGACATCTGTGTCTGTGTTTTTGATTGAGGTATTTTGCTGCCCACTTCCCAGGCTTCTATGATTTCCCGAATTTCGGATTTGAAGATCAAATGTCATTGATAAGTTGCCCGTTGGCGAGCAAGAGGCAATTCAATGTACCTTAATATGTGCACCTTAACAGTGACGGCAAAACCGGAAATTAACCAATGATTAATCACAAGAAACAATAAAGACATTTTGCAATAAAACACTGAATATTCATGATTCAGACTTTGTTTTCTTCATAGGCTGGAAAGTTGATATTTCCGTTTAGCATTCATAAGTGTTTCTGATTGTTGAGACAATTTGCACATTTCAACTATTCTAGGGTCAAAGTAGAATTTGCATTTTGCTGAGTTTGTTTTTCGTTTCCACAACGGATTGTTGTTAAAATTTGAATGCAGACAGCAATTCATGAATTTTTATACACTTTTTTAGCTTTTATTATAGAAGTCAATGCTTTTTGCTATAAAAATGTTTTTAACCAACCGATGTTGGTAAAATATTTAGCATCTATCGATATTTATATGATAAATATATCATGTTAGGTGGAATAATGGATAGTAGCTCGGATTAAAAATCGGAGAGTTGAGTTCGAATTCTAGTCGGATCCATTATATTCACTTACGTGTTAATACCCTCTTCTTCCCCCCAGCTATGGGTAAATGTATAAGGTTCTATAACCTTGGATGGGAACCGCTCTAGGAGAAGGAAAAACTTTGAATTCAAAACCGTCCTGGAAAGGTTTGGGTTCTGTCAGGCTATCTTGCCAAAGAAACACCATTGTATTGCGTCTGACTCAACTTATTAGATATATTATAAATATTTACAATAATTTATTTGATGGTATGAGATTTTATTATTCAAAAGTTTTGTTCGTAAAGGAACATCTATTTTAGTATTGGTCTTGACATTTATTTATTTTTATTCCAATCTTAAAAAGATTGGCATCGACCGTAAGGATGATAGAAAGAAAATATTGTAAAAATATTGAATGATGGGAGCACAATGTTGGTAATTGCGAAAGGGTTGAACAGAGATCGTAGAATCATGGAAAAGGTAACTGAAAATATTGGCAAAATAAAAACAAGAATAAATGACAAGCTTTAAGAATATCAGAGAAAATATTTCATGAAAATGCAAACACGAACGCATTCTGACTACTGACAGTTAATAAGAAAAATATTATTGTTAGAAAAATTGCATTTTAATATAATTTGAATTGTTCAATTCGCCATATTTTAAAAAATCCTGCTGAGTAAAGATTTCATATCAACAGAAATCATTTCCTGTTTTCTTTTTTTGTTTCTATTCGCAGGAAAATTAATTTAACATTTTATTATATCGATTAAAATTCATGATTAAAACTAATAAACCTTATTATATACAATAAATAAAAAGCAATAACATAAGATTGTGAAGAAAAAAAAGAAAAAGAAATTTCATTTTTGTTATTGTGTTATGATTGCAATTCAAGTGGAAACACGAAATGTTTACATGGTAAAGTTTAAAAACCAAAGAAGAACGTTTAAAATTATAAAGCACTTAAAATAGATTTTTTTTTTATTTGTCTGTAGACACTGAAAAAAAAGGATGCGTCAATCTGAAAGCGGCTTTTAAAATTGTTCTGTTCGATGCTCTGGCATGATGCAGCTAAATCGTAAGAAACGTGGAGACATGCGTTGAAAGATCTGCATTTCACTTTCACTTATAGACGCATTTCATTAATAATATGAATTCTATATCAACGTATCCGATATGAGCAAAAAATCTTTTAAATATTTTGAAATTGAGTATCATAAACTTCTACTCATTATTCTTACGTAATTTATTTGAAAGATATTATTTTCAAACTGTTATTGAAATAAATAAAAGTATTCAGTGCTACTGATTAGAATATTTCGTTGTTAAGGGTGTTAGCGGTAATAAAATAAGGTCTAATTTTGGTTGATTTCGGCCATGCATCTTGATAAGAATCGGACAAACAAAAAAGATGCATGTAAATTTTGCTAATTAAGGTGTAATTGGGAAATATTCCAGTTGAAAACACATTCTTCACGTTAATAATTCAAACAGCAGTTCTATATTTCATCTCGCAAACCTAAATTCAAAATGAAGAAATAAAGAGAACATTTTAGATAATTTCTTTCATGAATTTAATTCGCAGTTTCCTCGAAGAACACTGGTGAACAAAACCTGTTTTTATACGCTATTCATGATGAATTCGATCTTCATCCGCGACTCCATCAAGATTATTGTCATCCATGGTTACTTTAGTAAATCAAACTTAAATTTAATAGGTGATGTGAAAAGTCTTTTATGAAAATTCTATGAAAGAATCTTTAGCAGGCGGTTCTATGTCTGTTTCAGTGAAGAAATCAGTGAAATACTTTGCTTCATCAAACTCCTGTTGTTCCTGTTTGGTTTCCATAGTAACAAAGAGATTACTATCCTGCCGGAAGTAGGTAACTTTTTTTACGGCAACATTTGCAGATTAATCGATTAGGCTGTCTTACTTCAGAGGCATTCTTTTTGGTTGAAAAGGTAAAACAAAATATAAAAAGTACAACCAGGACTTTGGAACGTATTGATAGATTAGGAACAAAATAAAGGTTGTTTTTGACTTTCTCTCTTTATCGAAGAAAGATTTAGTCAGTAAAAATCCAGTAATAATGGCTGATTAAATTGGCGAGTTATTCCCAACCACATCCCTTGTTCGCTCTCTTTTGATATTGATATTTATGAAACATAGTTTAGTGTAACACAAGATCAAATGAGGCTAGAATGGGAAGAGGAAGATTCTTTTGTCGTAATTTTCTAAGTAGCCACCAGCAGCCATTTTGTCTATTCTATAAACTTTTCTCCTTCCTGTTTTTCACGTCTGATTTGCGCACTTCTTTTTATTATCCATTATTTTCGTCTAAATCTCTGACTTCTTTCTTAATATTTTCTTTGCTTGCTGTTTTTTTCCTCCAGTTCTCAGAATAGAGTTTTCGAGAAAATATTTGCACTTTGGAATTTCTTAAGGATTTTAACAATCAAAAACAATTTCTCGAAAATTTCATTTAAAATTTACATAGTACAAAAACTTGAGATATACTGTATACTTTATATACTGTATTTGAAGACATCTAGTAAACAGGCATATAAAATCCCTTAGTTTAACAGAGACTTAAGGGCTTATCATACAAAAGAAACTATAGTATTTATAAATGTCTTTTTTATGACATTAAATGCAGTGTGTTTATTGTTTCGGAGTTAATGAAATTCACATTTGATGTTTAACATTTGATTCATTCCGTAGACATCAGTTCAGACTGAATGAAAACTATCAATCTACATAAAAAAAATAGTAATGAAATTACTTTAGGGAAAACAGTCATATATCATATTCTGAAATATTTAAAAAAAAAAAAAAACTTTCCATAGCCTGTGGTTTTCTTCTTTCTTTCTTGCCACATTTTTGCATCACCCGCTACTTCGCCTCCACCTCAGGCAGAATACTTTATATCGCATTACAATTGCTATTCTTCTTCTTCTTCTTCTTCTTCTTCTTCTTCTCCTCCTCCTCCTTCTTCTTCTTCTTCTTCTTCTTCTTCTTCTTCTTCTTCTTCTTCTTCCATCTTTCTAACTTTTTTTCGCTTTTTCAACTTTCATCTATATTTCTTCCTTCTTTTTTTTCACTTCTTTCTTTTTCTTCGTTTCTTTTTGTCTCCTCTAAAACTATTCCTTCTCTTTTTTATTCTCTTTCGCCATATCTCCCCACACGTTGTTTCTGTTTTTTATCCATCCCCGTCACTCACGCACTTTTCCTACTCTTTCATTTCTTCTCTCGTCTCTTTATCTCCTCTCCACTCTTTCTTTCTTTCTCTTCCTCCTCTCCACTCTTTCTTTCTTTCTCTTCCTCCTCTCCACTCTTTCTTTCTCTTCCTCCTCTCCACTCTTTCTTTTCTTTCTTTCCTCCTCCACTCCTTTCTTTCTTTCTCTTCCTCCTCTCCACTCTTTCTTTCTCATCCTCCTCTCCACTCTTTCTTTCTTTTCCTCCTCTCCACTCTTTCTTTCTTTCTCTTCCTCCTCTCCTTTCTTTCTTTCTCTTCCTCCTCTCCACTCTTTCTTTCTCTTCCTCCTCTCCACTCTTTCTTTCTTTCTCTTCCTCCTCTCCACTCTTTCTTTCTTTCTCTTCCTCCTCCTCGTTGCTCTTCTTTCACGACTACTCTTTTCCTTTATCTCTTAAGCACTTCCCCTTATCCATCTTCTTCTCGTTCTCCTTCACCTCCTCCTCTTTTTTCATCACTTCCCCTTTTCCCACTTCACCCATTTCTCCTTCTCTCCATTTCTCTTCTTTTCTTTCCCTTCTCACATTTCTCCTCCTCCCCTTCAATCTCTTCTCACTGCCATTTCCAAATTCTCTCCTACTAATTTTCTTCACTTCGTGTCATTTTCTCCGTTGCTTCCTTTCTCTCATTTTCTCTTTTATTTTTCTCACGCTCTTTCTCTTTCAATTTTCTGCACACTCTTTCTTTTTCGATTTCACTCTCTCTTTTTCTCTTTCAATTTTCCTCGCTCTCTTTCTCTTTCAATTTTCTTTGCCCATTCTCTCTGAGACCCAATTCTTTTTTCTTCTATTCAGTAATTTTAGTCTTCATTTCTTCCGATTGCTCCAACTTTTTCCTTTTTTTTCTTTCTCTTCTATTTTCATTCACGAGAATAAAAGGTAAGAAGATCGCTTGAATGCATGTCTCTCTTCAGAGTGCATTTAGCCTAAAGCCTGCTTACTGGTTACTTTTTTTTCTGCACCGACACACCTGTTTACGTATCTAGCAATCGTTTCTGAGTATCAGATAAGGAGCAACAAGAACAGCGGAACTGGCGCTCACTTCTTCTCACCACACAGCTGCCATCTTTCACCGATGATTTTCCAATAAGTACTAAAGGACTTTTAGTAGTGGTAGTTTTAGTATTCTTTGCCTTTGCATTGCTTTCTCTGCTATCAACTGCAACACATTATAGGAGTGAAAAGAAAGTAATATGAATAGAAAAGTATATTTCCATAATGATTTATAAGTATTTTGCTATGTACGGTTTAGACGGCTGTTTTTGAAAAACTTGATTTCGGTATGTATCACTGGGCGGGTGAAATGAGAATCAAAATGAACGAAACAAAAACACATTATATTGAATACCAACGACATGACAATATACGTCCTGGCAACTTGGAACACCTCGAAGCGGTGTAATGGTTAGCAGGCTTGTCTTGATAGGACAACTACGAATGAGTAGTGAGTTCGATCCTCACAAGGTACTTACTACTTTCGGCCTTGTGCCACATCTAATCTACGCTTGGTTATTCACTTCGTCCTGGCAATTCATTGAAATCAATAGCCATGTCATTCATATTCTATTCAATGGCAAAATTACCCAGCATTTCTGATTTCTCGTTGGATACTTCAAATATCGCTGTAAATCAATCGACTAGCAAATAAAAAAAAAATAACTTATTTTTTCATTAGTTCTTCTTTGAGGAAACCATGTCTTCATATCACTTCTGTTTTTGAAGTGTTCAATTTTTTTCTCAATTCAGAGGACAGGAAATATTCAAATATAGCTATATGCGTACATATTTGTTCTTTTTTTTATTGGAATTGTTTCCTTTTCATTGGTCAGAATTCAGGTTCTGCTCTTTTTCAATTTACACACACACACATACACACACACACACGCGCACACACATAGGATGATCGCAAAAGCGTGAAACCCATAGTCACAAACTCGTATCCATACAACTTATGTTCGCACTATCACTGATATTGAGCGCATATAATATATATATGTGTGTGTATTTGTGTGTGTATTTGTCTGTGTGTTTGTGTGTGTGTGTGTGTATATACTTGAACTGAAAACGTTAGATAATGGATTATGAAAGCTTTTGACTACATAAGAGTAATTCTTTTCCTTTTGTTAGGTTACTAATGCGTGAAGAAAAGACCGTTGAAAACGAGCAAAGAAAAGCCAGTGTGTTTACCTGCATTGGACCGACTGGCTACCCTTATTTCTTCCAACAGGAGTCGGCATCCTCACAAAAGTGTCACGTGAAGCAGAAGTGGCAAGCCGAGAATTTTCATGATCCTATCAACAACATGATAAGATCTGATTTGACACTCTGAACTCCAACGTCTGGGACATCGTCGAATGAAAAACTGGCGGCGTCATAATATCACAGATTCGTTGAAAGGTTTCCATTAGGTACGTTATCGCTAACGTGAACGTGAAACACTCGATTCTGGTGATTGACTCGCTTTCGAATATTAAACATGTCGACAAATATTTTGAAAATATACTTTTTTCTACTATCTTTTCATTTCGTTTTATTATAATCCTCTCTAAATTAGTTGGCTCTTTCTCTCTCTCTCTCTCTATATATATATATATATATATATATATATATATATATATATATACGAATACAAGGTTGGCATAGACGGAATAAACTTCCAGTAACCAAAAACACTATTTTTAAAAAAGTGCTGAATACAGAGTAGAGCGAATAATATTTATTCAAAAATGATAATATAATTATGTTATGATATCACTACAAAAATAACCATTTTGTTTCAGCATTTTTGGTGTCTTCTCAAGTGATGGTGTTGCTAGTAAAAAAAAATTTTTTTAAAGAGTTCAAAAACCAACCACTACCCCTACTGGGGGTAAATATTTTTACGTAAGATGTATTGGCCAATCAAATTACAAGTATATAACGGACCCTAGATGCAATTTATTAATGCTTTAAAATAAGTATTAGATTTTATAAAAATTCAGGCTAAACAATTAATCTCCAATATATTGTAATTAAAAAATAAAAGTTACGCATATTAAATTCTTAATGTAACCATGCATCATGTTCAGAAACTAAGAAAATTATTCGAAGATAAAACAGGAAAATATGTCTAAACTTTCATGTATTGTTCTTAGAAATAGGTTAATTTTTTGTCCAAATCTGAGCGATAGTAAGAGGTGCAATATATGGCTACATAGTCAGTTACATTGACAAGGTCGTAATGATAGGCTTAGAGGACAAGGGAGAAAGGTTCATTTGTAGCTAGACATTCATACATCACGTCATAATAGACAAATACATAAATGTGATTGAATATATGAGGACGCAAATATACGAACGACAAACAGATTCATTAAGATTCAATCTTCCAACATAACTACAAAGACAATGCAAACTACCCGTCAAAATTGTACAAACAGTAATAATCGAAAACTTAAGGGCAAAAAATAAAATATATTTTTCCTTTGATTTAAAAGGTTTATCTTATCCTTTAATCTAATGATTTCAAGATTTTCATTGAGACAAAGAATTACAGCTACGAGTTCATTCAATTAACTTCCATTTAATAGTGGGAGTTTTGTTTTTCTCCTTTAAACTCCAAAAGTATTTGGACATCGAGGTAACATGTTTATGAGAACTATTTTTGAAGGAAAGAACATGTTGGTACTAATGGCATTTAAATGGATTTTTAGTACTACCAATGTAGAACTTTTTAATATTCGGGTTTTCAAGCGAAGAAATGGTACTAAGATAAACCAGGGAATTTTGTAATGGGCAATAATTGGAATTCCTACAGTTACATGCATTAGTATTGGTGTTATGATATTTAGTATTATTTAACGTATCACTACATTCCATCATGTCCTTTGTGTTTTTATATCTGTTCAATAACTTATTAAGCTTTTGAATTATTTTTTCCAGGTTATCTGCACAACTGTAACTAAGTTTAAGAGTATTTTTATAGAATATTTTACTAAACCTATTCGTTTTGTGAAAGTGCTTATTAACAAGATTTAAGGATTTCGATCTTAACTTAGTTTTAACCATCCAAATGATCTTCCTGGATCTTCACTTCTTATTATGGTCAATATTAATGGGATTTCTGTATTTAATACTGGTACCTCTAAAACAACTACTGCTCAGGGCAGAGTTATAAAATTCCCTATATCTATTGAAAACCTCTTCAATAGATGAGTACTTACTGATTCTAAATTCAATCCAAGAAGGTATATGCATAATAACTGGCGTTGAGTGATTAGAATTGGGATATGTACATGTACAGGATTAGAGTTTGTCTTCAAATAAGGTTGATAAGAACTATTCATAAGGTCCAAATTTACATCAAGAAAATCTACTTGTTTGATGATGGTTGATAACTTCGTTTTAAGGCCTAAATCTTTTAGCTCTCTATGTATCATCTTCCTAATGGGATCTACCTTAACTTTAGTAGAGTCATTGACAATTAACAAACCATCATCTCTATACAGTCCTATACTATCGGTATCAACACAATCATGGGCACTTAAATTATACAGAATGAATGATCCCACCAGGTCGCAAACACAGCGGGGTCTAGTGAACCCATGGAGATATCAAAGTTATCGTTTGAAGTTTTTTTTTTTGTAGTTCATTGATCATCATTATATATTAGGACGGAACTCCTCCATTTTAAGATAGTATCCAGCTCCGCGTCAGAAAGGTTTGAATATTTTTGTGCAAACTCCAAGGCCAGAGTAAACAACGATATCAATTGTACGAACGTACGTTTATCTTTATTTTGTATACCATTGAACCATTTAATGACGTGCGCGGTATTTATCCATTGTAAGAGTCAGATGGTGACTTGTTAACTCTTTCTAGAATGGCTTTACAAATTCGTAGGAATAATCAGACGTGTAGATGGCTTGGCTCTGAAATCTGGTTTATGGTCCTTTAAAACAATATATATTACTTCAAACGTTATTATATGTGGATACTTTCTATTTGAAGTAATAAAAATTTTAGATTAAAATAAATCCATTAATTCTTTATATATATATATATATATATATATAAAGGAAAGCTAAAACCGTTGATGGAACCGACTGAAAACTCGCCAACACCAAAAATACTTATCCAGATAAAGTATCGAATAAAAACAATACTGGACTGGAAATGAAAAAAGCAAAAAGGCCTAAAGGAAAACCTACCCAATCAGTAAAGTGCTCGAAACCTAAAATGACTAAACAGAGCAAAATACAACCTAATCGTAACCCTGAGTTTCACGCGATCTTCAGACTATATATATATATATATATATATATATATATATATATATATATATATATGTGTGTGTGTGTGTGTGTGTGTGTGTGTGTGTAAATATAAATTTATATATATATATATATATATATATATATATATATATATATATATATATATATATTATATGCGCGGTACTTATTAGAAAGCGCTCAATATCAGAGATAGAGCTAACATATTTGGCTGGATTGATGTGAGTTTGTGACCCTGGGTTTCACGCTTTTGCGATCGTCAGACAAACTGATTATTATTTTTTTTTAAATTTGGGTTTATGTAGATTGCGTGTATTTGTGTTATTATGCGAGTGGGGGGGAATCGTCGTCGTGATGTCATCGTGCTAACACAAACATAGATGCATGTCCGTACATCAGATGAGGTACGCAGACACACATACACAGTTGCTTGTCCGTCGGGACTCATACATATATAAACATATGTGGACAGTTTCGGATTTGACATATGTATATATATGGGTTGTGTTGTGTCTATGCATACGCATTTGTATGTTGAAATTCAAAGATTGGAAGTGTAGCGAAAATTTCTCGTGAATGTATACATGTCAGCAATCAGAGCATTTTTCTA